ACATTTTAAGATTTTCAGAGTTCCCATGTTAATAAAGCAGTATGTATTCATTAGGCCTTTTACTATATCACTAAGATACATTTATAAGCATGCACATGTTTATTTTAATTGGGCATGCCGGAAAAGGTAAAAATAAAAAATAATTTAAAATACAATAAAAACAAATGGAAAAATGAAAGTGACCACGGTTTGTTTAAAAAAATTCTTTTGACACAAAGAATACATGAAAACAATTATAGACACACATGGCACAATTATTAAATCTAGGTGCTGGCCTTAAACTCACAGAGATCCGCCTGCCTCTGCCTCCAGAGCGCTGGAACTAAAGGCGTGCGCCATCATGCTCGTCTTCATACTGTATCTCTAGTTATGATATAACTCCTACATTTTAAAATTTAATTTCTGATTTATTTTTATTGTTTCCTGTTAACTCACATAAAATTTTTAGGGTTCTTAATAATTATTGTAAATTAGCAATTTTATCATTGCTTTTTCTTTTTTAGATGGCTACATTCCAATTAAAGCAGGATGCTCATTTGTGATATTTAAAAAATTTTATTGCCCAGTACTTTTCATTAAGCATGCAAAATAAGCCAATTTAGAGGTAGTAAATGATCCCCATTTAGAGGAAACTTACCTTTAGTTAGATTTTTCCATATTTATTTTGTATTCATACATTGAATTAACACATTAATAAAACCCAAAGCCAGCTGGAGTACAAAATACTTGTTTGGCTTTCTCCAGTACTTATCGATTCCTTAGATTAGATGTAGGAGAAGCATTGAGAGAAAAAGAAAGGGAAGAAAAGAGACTGCTGGCAAGTTTAACAAAGAAATGTTCAAAATGCAAAATGCCCTCAGAGGTCTACAAGCAAAGAAAAGGCAAACAGGATGCTGAAACCAAAATGCTTCCAAAGCAAACGAACAAACTGACACCTTAAACCAAACACTTTGAAAGCAAACCCAAACCAAAAAGAATGTACCAAACAGGATCCTTAGACAACCAGCTCAGAATAAGCATGTGAACTGTGGACCAAACCAAGTGAGGTCTGAGAGAGCTCCAGAAAGAACTCCTCACAATTCACCTGAGAAGGCAATGCCAGGTGTCTTGGGCTCAAGGGGCCCATGCTGGTACCTCACTTTCATCTAGGCGACTCCTCTGGGGAAAAGTGGGTTATTCTCAGAGTATCAAGTTGTGACAGCATAGCTGTCAAGTAAAATACACAACACCCACTTCAAAGAAGGTAAGAGAGTTTATTCTAGAGCCAAGTATGAGTGACCACAGCCCTAGAACACAGACATAGGGTACCCCAAATTCCATGTTCCAGTGTGGAAGCAGTTTCATGGAGGTCCAATAGTAGTAGAACAAAGAAAGTCATAAGTCAAGGTACATTTCAAATACATTGGTGAGAACATTAGGTGGTTGTTGCAGCAAAGTGGAGAAATCTTAACTGTAGGTCTCAGATATTTTGGTTTGTGGAATCTAGGTCTTTTCTAAATTAACATATCCCAAAAGCTTTATCTGTTAGTCACAGGATGCTAGAGCCAACACAGAGATGGGCAAAGGGTGGCTGTTTAGCCCAAGGGTGAACATAGCCCAAGAAAAGCTGTAATTAGTTTCCTGTCCTGCGACACTCCTAATTCTCCACAGTCCTTGAAGTTCAAAGATGCAGGCTTTCTTTATCCTGGGAACTTTCATTCACACCATTTAGGTCTTGTCCATATTTCAGTGGGGTCATTTGTATTTTCATATTGGCTTGAGTGAGCTACTTTTGTATTCTGGATATGAACCCTTGTTGGATACATAGTTTGTAAGTATTTTTTTTCCTATTTGGTACATTGCATTTTCATTTTGTTGGTTATTTTATTTGCTATGAAGAAACTTTCAGTTTGACACAGCCCTACTAGTTTGTTTTGATTTTTGGGTTCACATCAAAAATTCATTGCCAGGTCAATGTCAAGGAGTTTTTCTCCTACCCTTTCTTCTAGTAGTATGTTTATATTTTCCTTTCTCTCTGTTTTTTTTAGAAGAGTTTGATAAGGATTTGCGTTAATTCTTCCTTAGGCATTTGTTAAAATCCACCATTGAAACCATCTGTCCTGTAAACAGAAGTTTTAGAAAGATGAAAATCTTATCCCATGGAGGACAGTGAGGGTGACCATTCTTATTTTCCAATAAGTAAAAAGCAAGTGACATGATAAAAAATGTATGTTAATGTAAGAAATGTTAAATTTTGGAATCAATTATTTGCAGGTCTGAATATAAGATGCATGTGTTGTGTTGGGCTTGGCCTGATTATCACCTGATAAAATAGATAAATATAAATACATCTAGGATTGAGAATCAAAAATCAAACAACTCGCTTATTTGAGGATCTGCTTTTTTCAATTTTTAAATAATCTTTTATTTTGGTTTTAGGAGTCAAGGTTTTACTCTGTAACCCAGGCTGACATGGAGCTCACTTTATGGCCCAGGCTTGCCTCAAACTCACTACGCTGCTCAGGCTGACTTTGGACTCCTGCAGTCCTTCTGCCTCAGTCTCCCCAGTGCTAAGATTGTAGGCATGTGCTGCTTCACCAGGCATACAGCACACTACATCTGCTCTTTGAAAGCTTTGGGGAATTGTGAAGAAATATGGGTACAACTTGTATATTTAGTAACTACAAATACGTTTTATATACACTTACCTACAAATACGTATATCATGCTAGCTGAACATTGCTAACCTGAATTAAGTTTTCAAATTAGTATATGGAAATTTTCAATATGTCAAATGACAAAAATCACAAATTTTACTGTGAAAATATTGGATTGGAATTGCTTTGTTGGAAAATCAAGTTTTTTTTTAATTTTGGGAATATAAATTTCATAAACGTGTTTTTTATTTGACACTTTTTAGATTGTCATTATTTTAATGTAATATTTCTAATTTCTTAGTTACTGATAAACATCAATTCAAGCCAGAGCATATGTTGTACAGATTCCGCTATGACGATGGGACATTTTACCCAAGAAATGAGATGCAGGATGTGATTTCGAAGGTAACAACCTCTTCTCCAGCCTTTTTGGTAGCAGGATTCATTTTTTTATACTTGAGAATGATGAAAAATTACTGAGATCTTGGAAATTCTTCTAACATAGAAATTCTTAAATTACCCTATAAACAATCTTCTTTTTGGTATTTCTAAAATTTGACTGCTCTGTCATTTCTTTTCTTTCCAGATTCTAAATGGAAGTAGTTTTTACCTCACTTGGAAGGCTATAGCCACTAAAAATTATTTCACATGTAGCAACCTGTGTTCAAGACATTTGTGTAAATTTAAAAAACATAAATATTAGGACAAATGTAATATTAGTTTTCTTTATATGCCTGGCAATATTTGTATCGCCATAGAATGAACACGTATTCTAGGTTTATTGCCATGTAGATTTATTTTCTGTTTAAAGTATGTCTTAGAATTTTTTTTTATTTAGAAATAGTTTAGAAAAACCTTCATGTATTTCGTACATACATGGTAAAGTCATAGAACAATTTTGTTCATCTTCTGTGACCTTGCTTCTATTTTTATCATGTATTAACATTTGAATAATGTTTTTAGCGAAGACTATGTAATAACTCTAGAAGACAGACAGGAATTCATTTGCTCTTTTGAAAGTTTATTAGCATGTCTTGTGAGTGACCCTGCTGCTCGTTTTTGATGTATCTTTCTTTCATGCAGGGAGTGAGGTTATATTGTCGTCTTCATAGTCTGTTTACCCCAGTGATAAGGTGAGTGAGTCTGTCAAATTGTGAAAATCATAAATGGAAACATTTAAGTTTCATGTTAGAACTTGCCTTATCTCATTTGTCTTCCCAAAGTAAAAAACCTTACTTTTAAATACAATGTAAATAATTATTTTTCTCAAATATTCCTGAATTTTTCTGAACCTCTGTGTATTCAGTGTCTTTACCTTTTGTTATGA